TTTTTTTTTTTTTTTCAAATGATTCTTTCTCTAGCAATTAATGCTAAATATATAGAATGATCACCCCACAATACAGTAAAAGATCCAGCAAAGAGTTCAAATGCTTCTGATAAACTCACCTTAAATCGGATACTCAAAATATATTTCTCTAAATGAATTTTTGATTCAAACCCCAGTTTACAGTTTTGGTTCTTGGAGCTCCAGAAAAAAGAAGAAGAAATGAGAAAAAAAAANAAAAAAAAAAAGAAAAAATGAGAAAAAAAAAAAGGAAAAAGACAAATAAATGGTGCCAACTAGAGCTGCAGCTCTTTTGTAAGAGAAATTGTTACTTTATACGTGCATCGAATCCAATAAGCCACCGACACTTATTCGAGTGCTAAGATTTATGTTATTTTCTGGGATTTATATAGTTTTTAAAAGGGTCTGCAGGACGTGACCCCACAATGGACCAATGAATAATGCTGTCACTAACAAATCTATCGTTTTACGCGCTCTGCATAGAAAGATGAGTGGGAATAGGGTTGTGTGTGTGTGAGAGAGAAAGAGAGAGAGAGACTGAGTGTGAGAGAGAGAGAAAGCACATGCAATAGTAAAGAATTATTGTCTAAGTACAAGGAATAATTCACAAAATTTATCAGCATCATGTGCATTTGTGTTTATTTTTCTCACTTTTGAATCTGTATTGTCCATTTCAAAATTCAGTACCAATTTTCTGTACCTGTAGATTAATTCATCAATAATAAAAGAGTAGAGCAAATTCCATGGAAAGACGAGAGAACCGGTTTTGGAAATTGACAGAATTTTTGCATAATAATATTTGGCAAATTTTCATTGATTAATAATTCCCTGTAAGAGAGAGGATGATTTTGTTATTCTCGTAAACTTCAAAGGAAAGTAATATAATTTGCTAAAAAGAATGATACTCTCATATTGTTCAATGAAGTGACGATAACATTATTGGTAAAGTTTATAAATATCAATTAAATGCAAACCACAAATGCCTTTTATATATTTTACGAAAATTGCAAAGGGGTTCTCGAAGTATGGTTATTGTTATAAGTAGGTCCTTAGTGTAACTTATTGATCTTCGAGAAATAGATTTTCTACTGGACCATTAACATTAAATAGGTAGTAAATAAAGTTAAGCATTTATATATCCGTCTCCCATATTTCATTTCCATCAGTCTCTTTGAAATTATGGATGAGATTCAAAATTTACGTCTCTGTGACACTCTTGAAGCACCAATTAGATAGGTAAATTCGACTGATCGCCCCTTACTCTCGAATTGTTCACCACATAGGGTCAGGGTAAAGAAGTAACTAATTTATCCCTTAGAGAAAACGTCACGTATTGAAAAGATGCAAATACTCAATATCGCTTAATTTATGATGTCGATAATGATAACGAATTGAATTGATTTCAAAATAAATCATTCTCGTGATATAATGAGACTAACGTATGAAATGAGTAACGTGTGGTTGTGAGAGCGGCCGTGTCCTATTCTCCAACTGTATTTGCACCATCAAATAGATACTTTTTTGGATTCTTTCTAGCTCTATTTCCTTGTTCTTTACCTTTCTTTTCTTTTCTTTTCTTTTTCTTTACTTACTTTTTCTCGAATTTTTAAAAGCCAACAACTTATTACAAGATTATTACATTCATTTTTAGTGTATTTTGATAAAAATTGATGAAATGTGTTGTTAAAATTAGTTATTGATTTTGATTTAGATTAAAATTTTGGATTTTAATTTCTACCAAACATGGGCAAATTTTGAAAGTGTTCATTTACAGAGATGTTTGTGTCCATTTTGAGTGAAAAATGTCCAACGAGCAAAACTCATTAATTTCACCCATGATTTACGACTTGTTTCAACCCAATTCCATCGTTTAGGATTTTGAAAATACATTTTTCGTTATTCAGGATAAAATTCTTAATTTTAGGTAGATTGGAATTTTAATTCCATTTAGAGTTTGATTTTATTATTAATTCTTATCGTCAAATAAGAGTTGTAAGTACAATTAGTTAAAATTTGAATTAAATAAAGAATCTTGAAAAGAGTTTCTCAAAATTATTCTCTTTCTTTGTATCTAATATTTCAAATCAACAAGTTAGGTTGTAACGTGAAATTTTGCTTTTTCCTATAAGTTTTCGCTACGTCAGTTATAGAACAATTTTTAAACACTGAGATTCATCCCCAGTTGTTATCGTTCATTTCTTTTTATTGTACCTATTCTAATATCATGTGCAAAAAATCATTTTAACATACTCAAATACAAAATTTTAATTGTATACTTCTCAAAAATTTTCCTTATGTGCTTCTCTTATATGAAGAGACGAAACTAATCAAATGATTATAAAGTAAACACCTTTAGCTGGGCCAAACTTCAATTATTTTTAGTTAGGTGCACATTGGTGCATGTTAACATGTTTGAAATTAGGACAAACAAAAGGACCTCGAAATTTCTTTCAACAAAACAACCTTGACATCATTGAAAATGACTAAAATTTGCCATTTGAATGGTAATGATGAAATAATGTCTACGTCATGTTGGGGCTCCATTTTTTCAAAAAATACTTTTTTTTTAATTCATTTTTAATCATAAATTTTTTCATAAAATAATGTTATACACAAATTCAAAATTTTCTTTAATTTTTTACCACATATTTTGAAAAAATCATTATTTCAAAATACATTTTTCCTCGAAGTCTCACGTAAGGATGCCCATACGGGGACATCATACGTGAGTGGCCCAAAAGTCTTAAAGCACTAAAATCGAGATTGATGATCCGAAGGTAAGTGAAAAACAGATTGGCCAACTGGAAGGGGAAGGAAGCACATGAAACTTTAGCTTTTTTGAAATAAAGTAATAGTACTAAAAAGTGGATTGAGCCTTGAGAGATGAAATGAGAGATTGTTTGGTGGGCTAAGCACTGATGGACGTTTAAGTTTTGATGAAATTTAACATCCCTACATATGGAGGAATGAAACAAACAGTCTGCACATACAGAGAAATTCAACAGGAAAATACACAGTTGTCTTCCTATGATGCCAAAACCTGTTTTTGGCAGCCTGTGAATTTTCCTGTTGAATTTCCTGTACTCATAGCATATCACGGAATGAAAAATTAATTAGTGAGGGGGTGTTTAATGGATATTATTGATCAAAGAATGTATTTTAAATAATGGTCTGATAGAAAATATGTAGTTAAAAAGTAAGAAAATATTATTGATGTAATGGAAAATATTATTTTATTGAAAAATGTGTGGTTGTAAATGAGTTTTGAAAGAATTTATTTTAAAAGAATGTGTCAAGTCTTTTAAGGAAAAAGCTATGCACAATGCTCAAAAGAGGAATGAATAAAAATTTAAATTTTTGAAGAAATTATTAAAAAAAACTAACAATAGAAATTTCAAAATTTGTGGGGCAACCCACATGACAACATTTGGCTCCACTACTAATTTTTTAGTTTACATTAAAAGACCTATAAAATATAGCTTTCTTTTTTTGTTTGAAGTTATTGCATCTAAAATGAAATCTTACATGATTTTTAAATTGGATCCAAAAGGTAACATCTAGAATTACTATTAAACGATCATTCTCAGAGCTTGTTTTAGCAGTTTAGCCATCGCACAGAGTGAAAATACGCTAAAGATAATTAATACATGAAAATCCTAATGATTCAATACTTAAGTAATAAGAGCGGATCGAAATAAGGAAAAGAAAAATCAAATTTCAATTTCCGCACG